AATCCATGAATTTTGTGACGTTTTCGATTTTTGTCATTTTTCATTTTTTCGGAATTTCACTGATGCAAGGGTATTTCTGTCCTTTCAAGTTTTGCGTGCGGGATTGTGGTTGGGTACAATTGCATTTCATACATTTTAAATTAAGTGAATTATGTAGCATTTAAGTGGTGATGCATATACATGTGTATGTGGTGTAATTGCAAGTAAAAGAAAAAGGGAAAAGAAAAAAAATAGTGGCGGGACCCACCATTAAACCAAATATGGTCTAGAGACCACATTTTTGGGTCTCTCATTTCTCTCTTCCCATCATTTTCTCTCTTTCTTCTTCATTTTCCTTTTCATTTTTGCACCAACTTTGAATCAAGATAACTTCTTCAATACTTGGTAGATTTGAGTGCCGTTTGAGGCAAAACGAAGCCCACGATGAGCTCTACGCTTGAGTACCATCAATTTCAGCTTTGGGTCTTCCTAGGGATTTTGAAATTCTTGATCATTTTAAGGGCTTTGCTCAATTTGAGGTAGGAGTTTCCTAATTCACATTATTTATGCACTTTTATGAGTTAATCTACATGAATTGTGTTATAGCATGCTTAATTGTGTTAATTGTAGCCTAAATTGTCGTGATTGTATATATATGAATATGTGAAGACTTGTCTTGATTGTATAATATGAAAAACATGCTTATATTGTGAGTTATGCCTATTGTATTGTTCACATGCTATGAATGGTGTAGGAAAGCATGCCCTATCGTATTTTGTGATAATCCATTATTGTTTAAATATTAAAAGTATGAGAACATGCTTACTTGTGTTGTGTCAAATTCCTCATTTTCATAGTATTGAGATCATGAGACATGCATGTACACCATTAGGTTGCATGAAGGGAAGAAATTGTTCTTGAAATGAAAATAGGGAGTTTTGGGAAAGAATGTTTTAATGAAAGTGTTTTGGAAAACCCGGTCGCCGCGGGGGTATTAAAGGGTCGGAGGTTAATATAGCTTAGAGGGGACTAGGGAGTCACCCTAATGTGGTTGAGCTAGCTGGGCCCCATAATGACGCCACGGGGGTACCAAGGGTCAGGGACACTAGCCAATCCTCCTCTCGCGTCGCTGCGGGGTCACCAAAGCACAGGCTGTATTAATAATTTGAAAGCGATGATTAAATTGTGAAAATGGGGACTGACATCGGCATGCATTACATCTTCATTGTATTTTATCCTACATTGTATGACCCCGATTCCTATTGTCCTATTCTTTGTTTTGGATTCATGGAGTCTCATGAGGTGCGTCTTAGGCGCCACCTACTGAGCAAATTGCTCACCCCACCATACTTATATTTTTTTCAGGTCATGGCAAGGAAACGGCGGATGAAAATCCTCCGCAAGCTTGAAAATTGTTGGTGGAAGATGATTTTTTTGCTATTTTGTATTTGACCATTTCATGTATAATCATAGTTTTGGGGAATGTAAATAAGTTTGTAATTATGGCCATTGGGTAATGTAATTAAGTTTTATTCACTCAAAACCCTTTATTGTATTTTAGTGACTTCTGGCAAATTTTACTAACAACGTGGTTGTTGAAATTTTAATTTAGTGTTGAAATGTATGTAAACGTGTACGTGAGGGAAGTGATGTGGGTGGTTAATTACCAAGATTTACACATGACAGTGGCAAGTGGAAGTAAGAATTACCCAGAACCGGTCGACCTATGGCTTTCCAAACGTCGACCGGTATCTTGTCAGTGGGTCATTTTTGGCATACCTTCCAAACCAGTTGACGTATGACTTCCTATACGTCGACCGGTATCACCTCCCAAACCAGTCGACGTATGGCTTCGGTATCTGGGCAGTGGGTATTACCACTATTTATAATCCAAACCAGTCGACGTATGATGCATATACGTCGACCGGTTCACGTCACATATGTAATTACTTTTTTAAGTTCTTCAAATTTCACTTTGGCACCCAAGTGATATTACATGTAATTATTTTATGACTCACCAAAATGAAATAATTATATTTTAACCACCGAAAAGACCATGTTACCCAGGACTTTATTTTATTTATTATGTGATACAAGTAAAAGACATTTATGTCCTTTGGGTCTCAAACCATGTAAATTGTAGCGAATTACCATCTTGCCTTTTTTAGACGTTAATGTTTAAATTTAACGTGAAAAGACCGTATTGCCCTCGGATGGTTTTGGGTCGGGTAAGGGCCCGTTTAATGATCCGGATCCATAAGGATTTGGGTCGTTACAAATTTGTATAGAACTCAGTTAATTCTTTCAAAACATCCTTTTAGATTTATTTATTTATATTTATTTTAGCGTAAGTGTAAGATATTATTTGTCTACAAAGTGGTTGTCCTTCCGTATTTGCATCTCAAAATTTTATTTTAAGATGGTAAGCATTATTTGTGTCTTACTCTTTTTATTTATTTATTTAATTATTTATGTTGACATATACAAAGGGCGGATTCAGGCTAAAAAAATAAATAAATTTATTACTCTCTCCTTTTCAATTTAAGTGTCACTCACAAGAGTAGTTAATTTTTAGGGGGCATGTGAGACATGCATTGTCTGTCTGAAAATTACTAGTCTTTTGAAATTTTGAATATTAAATTCTAAGAACATGAAAATATATTTTTTGAAAAAAAAAATGTACTATTATTTTAAGACAAACAAAGAAAAAAAAAAACATGATATTTATTTTAGGAAGGAAAAATTATTAGTATCAGTCCACTCTATTAACCATTCCGGAATATATATAACACACCATGGAAGAAAAGTTCTTCAGTGGGTCCTTCTTAAAATAAAAAACATTAAATAAGTCAAGCTTAGTTATTCCCGTCAATCATAGCGTTTTTTTTCCAAGAGAAATAATGTTGGTTGTGACCATCGAGAGATTTGCAATTCCGATTAAATAAATAGAGGTCAATGCCGTCAACACAATATAATAAGCCGCCCAATCAATCTACATCATACACAACCTCTTGCTTGGACGCGTGTGAAAATTGTTTGATTCCATTAGACTCTTGTGAATTAGGAAGGAGACAGGAAATTAGAAGAAAGTGAGACAAATAATTTTTTTATTTTATTTTTTGGCAAGTGAGACACAAAAGAAAAAAAAAAAATTATGCAAAATAAGAGGAAATAATATTTGTTTGTCACTTAGCAAATTCTATTTATTTCACTTTTCTATCTTGAATTTTTTTAACTAATTAAAATAAAAAAAAATATCCTCAAAAATGGTAATTATGCCATTCTCTTATATTAAACATTCGACTTCTATTAGGAACAATACAAGAGTCCTTATAAAGATAGGCAAGTGAAGCATAGTTAGCAGAAACACGCATATTACAGGCATACAAAATACCTACAGTATGTACCATTTAAAAAACTCATGTATCCGTACAAGTTTCAAATATTACAATCTTATTTTTGTGTTAAATTATATAATAAATATATATGTATAATCATAAATGATTTCTTGCATATCATGACTCATGAGCAAGAACTTCACTAGAGCCTACACTATAATGATCCTTTAATATGGTCAAAGTATAAAAAAACTACTTGCCCAAAAAATACATAGCCACAGTGAAGGTAGTAGTTACCACAACATAGTCTTTGAAAATAAATTTATTTTTTCATTGTTATATTTGCATTTCGCTTTTATTTATTTATTTATTTATGTTTACTCTTTAATTTTAAAGGAAATAATAATTATAACGCTAACTTTATAAGTAAATGATTATTATTTTTTTAAATAACACAACTTTCACATTTTCTCTCTTTGTCTCTAATCTTAATATTTTAGGTCTCTTATGAGTTGTGACAAGACCAAAAAAAAAAATAATAATAAAAATATATTATTTTTTTTGAATAATAATAATTTTTTTTTACATGACCAAAAAAAAAAGTACACATTAAAAAAAAAAATCTATTTTGATAGGAAAAAAAATCCCAAATTTTTTTTTTATTGAAGAAATTATCTCTTTTGTTGAGATAAAAAAAAAAAAAAAGGATTCAAAAAAATTATATGTGTTGAATAAATTATCTCTTTTGATAGAATATAAAAGATTATTTTTATTGAATAAATTATCTTTGTGCAGGAACTTAAGAAATTATTAAAAAATAAATTACGTCTTTTGAGGACTAAAAAGAAAAATACTTGAAAAAAAGAAGTTAATTTTGTTGAATAAATTATCTATTTTGATTGGAAAAAAAAATCACTATTAAATAAATTCTCTCTTTTGACGGCCAAACATTAAATTATCTCGATTGAATAAAGTGTCTTATTAGACTTATTTGAGAGGATCTCCAGAAAAAGGAAAAATAAAAGTATAATACATGGGGAAAAAATAGTAAATGAAGTAAATAGGGTAAAAAAAAAAAATAAAGTTGCATAAATGGTAATTATGACATTATCAGATAAGGAATGATGCATTAATTAGTTCATGGACCTTCTTGCTATTTCTTTTAAGATAAAAGATAAGTGGAGTAAAATTAGAAAAAAAAATGGAGTACAAATATTGACTCCCTTCATTTATTTTATAATATAAAAATGGAGTAAAGATATATTCTTGATATAGAAATATTTTCAAAACTTGAGAATAATCTAAGAGAAATATGATTTTATAAATTGACTTTTAAAATGAGATACTTATTTTGAGACATCTTAAAAACGAAAAAAAAGTTCAATTTAAAAGGGTGGCCAAGTAGCCAAAATCTTATCATTTTTCAAAAGAAAATGATAGTTTTTGACACTATTAAAATTTTTATTTAAATTATTAATATTAATTTTTTTTGGAAAAAACTGAAAGAAATTTCGGGAGGAAAAAAAAAAAAAAAAAGAATAAAAGAAAATCTTTTGCATTCATTTTCAGTTACAATTTTTTTTTTTAATTCAATTTTCTGGTTCACTCAACCAAAAGTCCCGGAGAGAAAAGGGAACACAACATTGTCGTACCGTCTGACTCACGTTAAAACTGATCCAAACGCCCAACTTAGTTTATGGACTTTGGAGAGAGAAAAATGACATTTACACACACAGTTACACACACACACAAAGATAAAGAGAGCTCAAAATCCACTATTTGCTCCTTTCCAACCAACTTCATCTCACCTACAAATCTTTAATAAATCCCCCCAATTTCCTCTCTTCCCCTTTCCATTTCATATCTCCTCTCCAAGATCACTCTCTTTTTAAACTCTCTATCCAAACCTCCTTCCATTTCAAGTTCACACAACTTCTTTCTCAGTATAGATAGATACAACATATATATGCATACATATAGAGAGATTGAGAGTTCAAGTGTGAGATTTACTTGTTAAAATGAAGAAATTAAGGAGCTATTATGCGAAACTAAGACACCCACAAACAGTAGAACGAAAATGGATCTTCCCACTAGCTATTGGTTCCATAGTTGCTCTCTTCCTTCTCTTTCTCACAACCCTAACTTCACCCAACGGCACACCTTTTCTTCCTCTCCACCGCACCGCCGCCTCCTCCACCGCCACCGCCTTCGTCGAATCGAAGCTCCACCCACTTCCCATCTCCATCCTCCCTCCTCCGCCACGACTCGCCTACCTCATCTCCGGCTCCATCGGCGACGGAAACATGCTCCGACGTACGCTGCAAGCTCTCTACCATCCCAACAATCGGTATGTAGTACATCTGGATGCCGAATCTTCGGCCCAAGAGCGGGTCGATCTGCAGAGCTTTGTTAACAATCATCCCACGTTCAGCCAATTCGGAAACGTGTTTATGATCACGAAAGCAAATCTTGTCACGTATCGTGGCCCGACAATGGTGGCGAATACGCTGCACGCGGCGGCGATCTTGTTGAAGGAAGGTGGCGATTGGGATTGGTTTATCAATCTTAGCGCCTCCGATTATCCACTTGTCACTCAAGATGGTGGGTGGGTTTTTGAATTTTGGAAATTTAGGAATTTATGGGTTTGGTTTGATTGTTTTTGTGTTCAATTTAGTTGATTTTATCGATTGATTGATTGATTAATTAATTATTGGGTTTGTGTTAATTAGATCTGCTTCACACATTCTCGTATTTGCCACGGGATCTTAATTTCATTGATCATACAAGTGATATTGGGTGGAAAGAGTAAGTGATTTTTCTGTTACTTGAACTAAAGTGATTTTTCTGTTACTTGAACTAAAGTTCCATAATTTTGGGTAGGAGAGTTGTATAAATTAATTGTATACTTTTATTTAATTAGGTTTCAGAGGGCAAAGCCAATTATTGTCGATCCAGGGTTGTATATGACCAGAAAAGCTGATGTTTTCTGGATCACACAGCGAAGAAGTGTGCCGACAGCCTTCAAACTGTTTACAGGTTGGGTGTGGCTTCATTCTAATTTAGTTGTTACATTGGGCTCTAAAGTTCTCTTTTTTGATTCACTACTTATAGTATTGGTTTTGCATATATGGTTTGTTTATGCTACTGTCTTATTTGTGATGTTTGTGCTCTCCTTTGCTCAAATGGCTTATTCTCTCAATTCATCAACCTGTAAAAGTCAGGGTGTTGATTAGGTCATTGAAATATTATGATTCTGTTGGCTTTTATATAGCTTTGATTAGGAGCCCGTCTATTTCTCCATATAATTTATATGTTCGATGAATTATTTACTTATTTATTTTATGTTTCAGTTTTTGTTAAAAACAACTCATATGTTATAATAATGAGAATGGTTATACATGCTTTTATTATTGTGGGGTTGCTCTCAATTGCCCTGATTTCCAACCCCTTTTCTAAGGCAATAATATTAAGCAAAATGGGATATTCTAGAAGTAACAAAGAAGCTGGAGAAACATGAAAGCTTGAGATATACCAATATAGGTATATTTAGGGCACTAAGCAAAGCTCAAGCAGAAGTAGCCATAGAAGCCAGAAAATGTATGTTTATAATGGGTTAAGTCTATTTATAAAGGAAGTTCCAATGGGTGAAAGTTTCCATATGGTACAAGACTAATTTACAAACACTTTGTTTCATCCTAGTATATAAGAGGAAAATATTGAACTACTTTGACGACTAAATCTGATGGTCAAAGTTCAGCGGTTTGACGCTTGAATTTCAGAGCCATTGGTGCGATGTCAAGTTTTAGAGTAGACACTTAATGAAATACTAAAGGTTAGGTCAGTCTTGAGTCCTCCCTCCATTGGACTCTGCTGTAGCGGGACCAGAGTTGGGTAATGTGCCCTTTTTTGACAATTTAATCAGTCCCATCTCCGAAGAATCAGAGGTTAGATTAGGCTTTGGACATAGTATTTTCACCCAGCATAGGTTATTGAGTCATTGTAAAATGTCTTTTCCATGTTACAAATATCAGGACTCCATAGCAGTGAAAAATTTGTTGTTTAAGACATTTTGATTGTCTATCCAAATGAGAAATTATGTTTCAGTTGATGTGAATAGCAGTAGTCTACCCATAATAAAGGTCCTGTGGTATAATTAGAATTGTGATGGTATGAAGGCATGACGCCGAAGCTAGATAGCCTAGAGGCCCTAGATTACGTGCCATGTGTATCATAACTTTGTATTTGTCATGGTACTTATAAAAAAAATAAAAATAAAAACTAAATTCCTATTTGTCATGGCAACAGTTCCATGATTTTGTAAATTGGTCTGTATGTGCCCATCATCTACTGAAATGGGAGCTTACAGTATTATTATTTATGGCCGGAGTAGAAACTATATCTCTTGGCTCTCAACATGGATTTGCTGGATTTGAAGCAGTTAGATGATGATTCTGATGCACTACTAAATTAATTGAGAAAGGAGCGAGATTCCCTCCTTCAATTCATCCATCAATAATCTGTGTAATATAGACTACATGGGATAACATAGTAATTAGAAACAAACGTTTTTTTTTCCTCGGTAAAGATGGAATTTTTTTTATAGATATAACAAAAAAGTACAATCATCAACAAGGGCATTCCCTTGGGAAACAAATTGTCATTAGACAAACCAGAGTACAATACACAGTTCTACTCACAATGGAAAATAGAAACAAGCATTCAAACAGTAGATATTTATACACGGAGTATTGCCAAGTGTCTAGCATGCTTTAAATACCAAATTGTGTGCATTTGGGCTCAACAATATCATATGGTTGAAGAAATTTTCTTACAAGCTGTATGTTCAAATATGTTGATCTACAGTTTTCTTCATCATATCTGGTTTCATTAAGGTCATACAGTTTTGTGGCAACTCTCTCTCTCTCTACACACACGTATATATATATCCTTTTCATAGTGCCTGATGCTTGAAATGCATATTTAACAATCCTTTGATTTACATATTCAACCTAATAGTGAAATATTTAACATGCTGATGTCAAATCTGCAGATTTGAAAAACCGGGGAACCATTTGCAACCTAAATGATTTCAACATTACAGTATAGAACCTCTCATGTAGAACTTTCACATATGTTGGTCAATTTATCAACAAGTGTTGGGAACAGAACCAAATGAACCAATCAATGCATTTGCACCTAATTTACACCAATTGTTTTGCAACTGATTGATTTCTTTTCATTCCATTGCTAGAATGAGGCATGTAGTGTTTGAAAGGGGATTTACTTCCACTCTACTGAGTCCTGAATTCCTGAAAATATTCCTGTTTCTATTCCATGCTAGGTTAATCTGTGGACTTCAATTAGAACTTCCTGATCATCACTTCAATTTAGAAATCAGTGATCACTTTGCGTCTCTGAGATTATTATATCTGAATGGAGCATTCCCTTGAGCTCCGTATCACATTGCATGACTACTACTTTTTTAATTTCACTTGGTGCAAGAATGCATGAATTTTGCATTAATATATTGGTCTATGGGCAATGTCAATTATCATTTTATAAGCAACATTTGAAATGGTCATGCAAAAAGAAAAGAAAAAAAATTGGCCATGCAAAAAAAATGGTTTCCGATGTATTTGGGGTAGATAGTCTGCAGAAAATGGTTTCAACTTTCATGTACTTGCCAGAATTGTTTAAAATCACTCAGTTTTGACATGCAATTGGCACAATAAGTTTAGGCTACTGAAACTGAATTTCTGCCTTATTTTGTAGGATCTGCCTGGATGGCACTTTCTCGGCCTTTCATTGACTTCTGCATATGGGGTTGGGACAACTTACCTCGAACTGTCCTCATGTATTATGCCAATTTCATCTCTTCCCCAGAAGGCTATTTTCACACCGTCATCTGTAATGCTCAAGAGTTCCAGAATACCACCGTGAACAGTGATCTCCACTTTATATCCTGGGACAACCCTCCCAAGCAGCATCCCCACTACCTCACCCTTGATGACATGTCGAAGATGGTTGACAGCAATGCCCCATTTGCGAGGAAGTTCCACCAAGATGATCCAGTGCTTGACAAGATCGACTCCGAACTTCTATTTCGAGGTCGGGACATGCTTGCTCCTGGTGGGTGGTGCATAGGAAGCAGTAAAAATGGGACTGATCCATGCTCTGTTGTGGGTAACATCACAGTCCTCAGGCCTACAACTGGTGCCAAAAGGCTGGAAAAACTGATCAGTTCTGTCTTATCAAGTGATAATTTCCGACCAAGGCAGTGCAAATAGTAAAAATCTGTTTCAGAATAGGTGTTTGCATACCAATAGGGTTTGTTTATATCGGAAACGTTAAGATGTCGGGATCAGTAATTTCTTTTTTGATAGGGGGAAAGAGTGATGAGAAATTGCACCACCTCCCAGCTTATATAATTGCAGCAAATTAAAATGGACTCGGGTGGAAAGAAATGAACACAGAACCGAGAATATTTTCTGCTGCAATAAGAAAAGATGGCATTCATGTAGCTGACCTGGATTTTGTTGGGGGAGTGGTTGTTACCATTTTTACTCTTATTACCAGGACTGAGCCTGGCACCAAGGCTTGTCATGAACTTCAGCTAGTAGTTGCCGGTTAGAAGAAGGAAAACTAATTTATACACGTACCTTACTATGTATCTAATTTATTTGTGGTGATTATTTTAATTTGGTGTTAATGACACGCACACATGATCCAAGACGAATTGTTGTGCTTTACGTGTATGTGCAGCAGGTTTTGTGGATCAATCAGGATTTTTCATTTTCATATATAATTATATATGCATTTGCCAAGTTTATTTTGCTTCTCTTTAATCAACTCATTGTCACTCACAACTAGTGATTCAGAAGGGACTATTTATATTTTATTTTAAGTTACTCGTTAACATTGACAACTGTGTTTATTTCTAATAATCAAATGCCGCCCCATTGCTGATTATAAGTTGGTTAACAAACTTAAAATTGAATTTCTACCTACCAAGTAACTCTCTATATTTATACATATGCTTATTTTTAAATTTTCTAATTTGTACCAGCAAGTACATATATATTATATCTTATATATATATAGAATATATGTTTGTGCGGGAGAAATTTGGCAAAAAGGGATATATATATATATATATATATATATATTGTAGCAGTACAGCCAGAACAACTTTGCCCAAGTAGTCTTTAATCCCAAAATGGCAGTTTTTCATTTTTAATGGGTGACAACTTTATTTTTATTTTATACTTTGACAAAATAATGAAACTTTCTACATTGAAACTGGAGGATTGACCATAAATATTTGTAATAGAGAAACAGGTGGTTAATGAGATAGTACATCTCATTATGTTGGGTTTATTTCAATTAAACCCGTCCTAGAACCCATTTAGGCGGATGATAATGCATTACAGCCTACTGCATTATTTAGAAATTTGCATTGACGTAACAAAATTAAGCAACGTAAAAAAAAAAAAAAAAAAAAAAAAAAAAAAAAAAAACTGATAGTAGAATTTTTGTAAAAGTTTTGCTCAATCAATAATATATAAGAAGACCGTATTAAAAAGTTGAGACTTTTAAATTATCACAAGAATTGATATGAATCGAAATAGCCATAGAACATGGCATTTGGGTATTCGACTATTCATTAAAAAAGCATGCTTACAAATCTTCAAACCAAAGAATGATGGGTGGATTATTAAGATGACTTTATCTCCTTAATTCCTAATACTAATCAAATCAACTTGAAAGAGACCCTTCTTATATTGGCTTGGCTGCCTTATTAAATTTTTATTATTGTTCCTCAATCTCTCTAATTACCATTTTAATTAAACCACTGTCTTAGTCAATTTGGAGCCTTGACATTACTTTAATATATAGGATGTAAAGGCAAAAGCATTATGGGATTGCATTAATTTGCAAGTTTAACACTTGTGATGCAAAAATATATAATCTAATATTTTGTAAAATGATAAGCAAATTAAAATGTATTGTTTATTCATTAAAGGCTATATATATAAGCTTTATATAAAAAATAAAAAGAGGATGTACAAACAAGTCACACAAGAACAATGGGGGAGAGAGTAGAGACATCCATCCTCTTTGTGTTGTTGTGACTGTTGGGCCTGTATCGTCATGTTTGTTGGGCCTCCTGTTTGGCTCCACTTGCCTTCCCTTCTTTACTTCTTACCTCATTCTGTGAGCTTGATGGGCCTCTTCAGGCCCAAGCTTTGTAATTACTTCTCATATATACATATTATACAATTTCTTAAAAAGTTCCGAAAAGAAAAAGAAAGCATAAAGCCATCGACAACATTACAGTCCAGCATCAACAATTGCCAACAATGTTGCCTACAGCCTACCTATAGGATTTCTTTTGGGCCACGTTTTGCACCTTGGGCCTGGTTGTTGGGCCTTTTGCTATAGCCCAACCTTTATGCAAATACTTTATATAATTTGTACACTTTTGCTGATTTCCCATTGGTCTGGATTCTGCAATAGAAGTGTACGTGATCTGTGACAACTGATCACCAATGAATTAGCTAGGGTTTTGTAAAATTAAGACATGCAGTACTGCTAAACTTGAATAATAAATCACAGCTACACACATTTTTCTTATGTATGTATCTTTCAGTATCATGTTAATTTTCAGAATTCCGAGGTATATCTCAAATATGAATTAACTGAATGATTCTACAAATTCTAGTGTGTATATATATAGAAACTTAACAAATATCTGAAATTTGGGGGAAAAAAAATTGGAAGGCTAGGAGAAATTAATATTGGTTGCTGCCGGCCTACTGCACGATCAGTTCATCATCTACTATTTTCCTTTTCTGATGATTCTGATCTCCTGCTGTTCAGTTTCATATCTTAGCTTTCTTATAAATGTAGAAGAATAGATAAAGCTATATATATATCTATGGGAGAAACCCTTGCCAAATATATATATATATATAGGAGAAGCATATTGAAAAAAAAAAAAAAAAACCTAATAAAAGAGCGAAAAGAAGCTTGAGCTCCAAAAATACACTCTTGGAGGTCAGAAATATTATAAGTTTGTTACTTACCCAATAATAATAATAATAATAATAATAATTATTATTATAAGTTTGAGAGGGTGTGTGAAGATGTTCAATATTACAGCTTAAAGTTTTGCAAGGTTATCACTTTTCGAAAAAAAAAAAAAAAAGTTTTGCAAGGGTATGTAAGGAAAATTACAGAATGTGTGTTCAAAAATCTTTGAAGGACCTAATTAGTACCTATATTCCATATAGTTGTTGTCAATTAAACCATTAAAGAGGTGATATTAGTTACAATTTTTCATTGTCTGGCCAGTGAACCATTGGTAGTTTTTTAAGATTAGTTTTTGAAGATTCTTGATCCATACATGCATCTCAACAAATCCTTTAAATTTGATATTTGAGGAGTCTGATATAGCGGCATTATAGCGGCATTAAATTTCACCTCTTGTACTCTCTTTCTCTGAAATTCGGGGTTCCTCTGATCAACCAGACAAATGAAACCCATATGCTGAAGTGTTGTACTATACTGATATTACTGTGTTCTTGAGAAGAAAAAAAAACACACCTAAATACAAGTTTATATATGCAAGTATATATATATATATATATAATATGATCAGACTTCAGACATGTTCAATAAATATATATTTATGGAGGCAACTAAGACAGATTCATCCATTTATGCACCATGTATGTAATTAGCTTTGATATGAGTAGTGAAAACAGAAATTGTATGGAAATAAAAGTTGAAAACATGGGATGAATTCATATAACACATACCAATGAAATTAATAAACTACCTATATATGTACCTTACAGTCACTGGATAATAATAATAAGAAGAAAAAGAATAAGAGGAAGAGGAAGAGGAAGAAGAAGAAGAAGAAGTTGTACATTGAAGTTGTAGGGAATGTCGTCGCAGGAAAATGGCACCTGCTGAAGCTAGACATGCACACTACAGCGGTGCCATTTCTCCTGCGACGGGACTCCCCAACTCCCTGTTTTACGGCCCTTGCATTTGAATACACGCATGGTATGACCATATTTATAGGCCAAAAAACCTAGACCTCTCTCCTTAGAAGGCCAAGTTTTTCCACGATGAAACAACTCATGAGTCATGACCTAGCTACTGGTATATTTCGTGTATTCTACGGAATTATAGTACTTAAAGAACCAGTCATATTCAAAAATGTTGAAAGTCATCATCAATAAACCCTTTCACATTATTTACCCAAAAAAAAAAAAAAACCCTTTCACATTGTAAATTAATTGATTAATTAGGAGTAATATACAGAAGACCACAATTCCACAGGAATAAAAAAGACCAGCTTGAAATGGTCGTTGAGAGAATGAGACTCAAGGTCACCATCCTGACCCAATATTTCTTAACAATTTCTTCGTCGTTATATTATCTGATTAGTTAAAACCTAATTAATTAAACAATTTGGTAAAAAAGAAAGAACATTAAAGACTGCCCTATTTTACTTTGTTAAACCTAATTAAGAGGCCAAGTTTTATAAATTAGTTTAATAAAGAAATTATAAGTGATTGAAACTGATCGGGATCATGTACCAATTCCAAATGTATATATAAACATTATCATATTATTCTGAATTGATGTGAGAAACCCCCATCTAGCAACTGGTCAACAAAGAGAGGAGTTTTGGGACTTTCTCACCTCCAATGGAAGTGTCAAGTATACATATATACGAACATGTATTAAGAAGTTGAGATTTTTAAGTTTATCACAAGAATCGTGTTACAATTCCAGAGATTCGACAACTTGATCACACCTAATAAATATCTCAGTCAGTTGTTAGTTCTCGATAAGTTTAGAGATTTCTTTATCACAAGATATGAACAAAAATATAGTTTCATTAAAAAAAACATTTATTAAGAGAAATATTCCAAAGATTAAATGCACAATTGCCCAAAATTTTCACCTATTCCATTATAGTATCCCAAAACAATTGACTTAATTATTAAAGATGATGAATGCCAGCATATTTTGTCGTGACAGGACAAGATATTCTTTTCTATTTTTTATCATGTTGCTCTCTTTTGACCCGGACAGTCTTATCGAGAAATTATTGAATATTCTGAGATACCGACAATATGACGTCTTCATTTAATAAAAAAATAATTTTTCTCCACAAACACGAGAAGAGAGAGAGTTTTGATCAAAATTTTTTTTTGTACATTCCACCAAGAATTCAATGTCTTGTACAATAAGGAAATCTAAAACAGATTCATAGGTTGTTTGGTCAAGGTGGTGGGCACCAATGTGGGGTTTCTATATTAAACCATTAACTTAGGGTTTCTGAAGCAGAATGATTGCTTGAGGAGGAATAGTGCCTAGAGTGTTGGCTTGCTTATTACGTAGTATATTTTAATTATAATTTTTTTTCTCGGTAAAATGGATTTTAATTAATTAGCGTAATAGGTGGTTCTTATGGACTGAATTAATCGTGACTTCAATGAAAGAGGTTTTTAAGATTAATGTATCGGAATCTTGGAATAAACGATATCTATTATCAGTAAACCCTTTCATATTGTAAATTGATTAATTAATAATTTACAGAAGACCCAGATTCGGAAGCAAATGAAAAGACCAGCTTGTAGTGGTCGTTGAGACTTGAGAGAATGAGACTCAAAGTCACCTTCCTAACAATTTCTTCATCATTCCTCGTTGCCATTCCGATCAACCTTTGTCCCACTACAGAAGAATTTAAGAGTTTTTTTTTATTTTTTTTATTTTTTTAATGTAAAATAATTTTAAAAAAATATTTTCCAAATTTTTCGGTTGGATGAAAATTTTTCAGTAAAATATTTTACGCCTTGTGAAGGAAAACCACTTACGATCTATAAAAGAAGCTAAACATACAATGTTTTTACCAGAGATTTGGCAATCTCAATATAAACAAAGCTAAACAATGTTTTTAGTGTCCCGCTAATTAAACTACGCCAATGGATTTTGTTAATTTAATATAGAGAGAAATTTTTATTTCATTTAGTTTAATAAAAAAAGATACATTAAGTGATTGAAACTGAGATTAATTATATGTACCAACTCCAAATGTCAAAAACATCGTCATATTATGCAATTAATGAGAGAACCCCATCTAGTAAGAGACGCTCCCCCCTCCCCCCCCCTAAAAAAAAAAAAAAAAAAATCAAAAGAACAAACAAACAAACCAAAAGCAAAAAGCCCAACTTTTGATCCCAAAATTCACAGAAAATTTAAGTTGCCCCCTCTAAAATTCTAAAATTTTTTGTCATGCACCACGACTCTCTTTCTTTTTTTGTTTTCTTGCCATACTCCTCTTCTTTGATCAGGACGGTCTTATTGAGAAATAATTGAATATCCTTAAATACAGACAATATGATATCTCAATTTAATAATCCGTAATTATTTTCTACAACATAAGAAGATAAAGAGATAGAGTTTTGATTTTTTTTTTTTTTTTTAGCACATTCCACAAAGAATTCAAAGCACGTCAGTTGAACATGATCGATCACTGTTTTATACAAGGAAATCTAAAACAGATTCATAGGTTATTTGGTCAAGGTGGTGGGCACCAATGTGGGGTTGCTATATGACTCATTAATAATTTAATATTGTACAACTACTTGCATGCTTAGCTTAGGGTTTCTAAAGCAGAATGATTACTTGAGGAGTTCCACCGAAAAATGAAAGGTAGAAGATATAATTAAGATGACTATGCATTTTGAAAGAAAGCCTCCTTATATTGGCTTTACTTATTAGATTAATTTTAGTTATTATTGCTCTCTCTAATTAGCATATTAGGTGGTTCTTATGAACTGAAATAATTGTCTTCAAATGTGCAATTTAGAGATACTTTTCTTATATATATCATATAGCTTTCAGTACCGTCGTTTCAGAATTCAGAAAATGGAGGGGTAGGGCCAAATATTGATTGCTGCCTGCATGATTAGTCTGTCATCTACTATTTTCATTTTCTGATGCTTCTGATCTCCTGCTTATCAGCTTCATTTCTTAGTTTTCTGGCCAAATATATGTATATATAGGAGAAACATAATGAAAAAACTGATGCTTTACTTCAACAACATATTAATTTGAAAAAGTATTAAGGGTCTACGTTGTTTAATTTAGTCTATGCAAACATGATTTTCAGTGTTATCTTTCCGATGAATTTTTCAATATGCATGGTTCCTAGTTAATTGAAACGCATATTGGTGTTTTTAAAGATCAAAAGGAAGCTGACACAAAAGGCCTTAGCCCAAGTGGGTTTTCCTCCTTCGGAGTGGAAGGCTGAGGGTTTGAGTACCAATAAAACAAACCTTAAAAAATATCGAAAATAAACTTGAGCTTGAGAAATATGCCCTCGGAGGCCAGATATATAAGTTTGAGAAGGTGTGCGAACCTGTTCAATACAGTAATTTTGCAAGATAATTAGGAAATTACGTAGAGACGAATTATAGGGTGTGTGTGTTGGCTGTAGTTTCAACCAACTAAATAAATTCTAAGTGAAGAGAGGAGAAAAATGAGTAAACAAATATTTTCTGTATTGTATTGAACTTTGTTCTTGTGTTGATCTCTTAACAACAAATACCTTACCCTATATATACTATTCTCCCATAGACCTTTGAACTTTTCAAGACAATCTCAACTACACACATGATACATGCACTCACTTAATACATGTACACTCTTGATACATGTATCCATTTGATACATGTACAATAATAGATGCATGAATGAACATATACATGAATGAACATGGCATTAATCTAATTTTAACACACCCCCCTTAATGCCATGTTGTGACATCCAACAATTCTCTAAAGTATTCAAACTTATTTTTTTGAAGTGCTTTGGTAAAAATGTCCGCAACTTGGTCTTCGGTCTTGCAATACTTGAGTTGAATCTCATCGTCTTCCTCTACTTCTTGAATTTCTTCCTTACCACTTCTTTAATTGCATTTTTAAACCTCTTCGGCTCAATAACACAAAAATTGCAACTTGCATACACATCACTAAGACTTTTCATTCTTCTTGGAGTTGAACTTGGAGATGAGGAATTTGAGTTTGATGGAGAAGTTGGGATTGATTGTAAGCTAGATACGGGAGACATTTATTGTGGAACTTCAAGAAAATCTTCATTTTCATTTTCTTGATTTCCTGATTCTTCATTGAAAATGGGGATTTGATCTTGAACTTTCTTCTCTTTCCAATCTCAAGCAGCCTTCTCATTAAAGAGAACATCTCCACAAATAATCAATTTATTCTTCTTCACATTAAAGAGTCTATAGCCCTTTGATTTTGAGCTATAACCCACAAAGATGCATTTTTCACTAACTTCATCAAGTTTGTGCCTCACTTCTCTTGGAACATAAGCAAAACAAATACACCCAAAAACTTTCAAGTGGTTCAATGATGGCTTCCTTCCACTCCATGCTTCAAATGGAGTTTTATTCTCCACCGCTTTTGTTGGACTCCTATTCATCAAGTAAACAGTCGTATACACGGCTTCACCCCAAAATGATTTAGTTAGCCCCTTCTCATGGAGCATTGATTTTCCCATCTCAATGATTGTTCTATTTTTTCTTTTTGCCACTCCATTTTGTTATGGAGTGTACCCAACCGTTAATTGCCTCTCCAAGCCAATATCTTCACAAAACTTTTTAAACTCATTTGAGTTGTATTCTCCACCTCTATCACTTCTTAACAGTTTGATAAGATGGCCACTTTGCCTTTCAACAAGCCTTGAAATTTTTTGAAAATAAAGAACACATCTGATTTTTGTCTCATGAAATAAATCCATGTCATTCTTGAAAAATCATCAACGAAAATAATAAAATACTTGTTACCCGCTTGAGTTGGTGTTGTCATCGGTCCACACACATCGGTATGAACAAGCTCCAATGGTGCTTTAGCCCTCCATGCCTTCTCTTTCGGAAATGACTCTCGGTGATGCTTATCAAGAGCACAACCTTCACAAACTTCTCTAGCTTCTTGTATTGTTGGCAGCCCATATACCAGGCTATTTTGTTGTAAATTCTTTAAGCTTTGGAAATTCAAATGGCCAAGTCTTCTATGCCAAAGCCAAGACTCATCAACAACATCCATCTTTAAGGCCATATTTTTTTAACATGAAAAAGTGAGAGGAAAGCTTCTATTTTTGCCCATCTTGATTTTTGCCACAATATGATTTTGTCCTCCCTTGTCATAAATTTTGCAAGAGTCTTCATCAAAATGAATGGAGTACCCATGCTCTACAAGCTGTCCAACACTTAACAAATTTTGCTCCAAATCCGGAACAAGTAACACATCTCGAATATGCTTTCTTCCTTTTTTTCTCTCTATGGCAATAGTACATTTTCCCTTTGCTTGGACTCAGGCACCGTTTCCCATCCTCACTTGAGAATTTGATGAAGAATCAATCTCCAAGAATATATTTTTATCTCCGGTCATGTGGTTACTACACCAACTATCAAGAAACCACACATCATCCTTTTGTTCTGATGTCGTGTGACAAGCATAAAACATGCTCGCTTCACCTTCTTGCTCTTCGGAAAAATTAGCTTGCTGATTTGTTTTCAAACGGCAATCTTTTTGAACATGTCCAAATTTCTTGCAATTGAAACATTGAGGTTTTCCCCGAAACCAACAATCTTTGTCAACATGGCTACTTCTCTTGCAAATTCCACAATTTTGTTGAGTGGACTCTCTATTTCTACTTCTCTTAAAATTATTTCTTCCTCTTCCTCTTTCGTGTCTTCCACCTCTAGAAGATTCACCTTTGGATCGATCAAAACTTGATGGGTATTTTTCTTGATTTTTGGAACTAACATTGAGCTTGGATTGAAAAACACTTTCAATTGTCTTTTTGGAGCGCCTATTCAACCTTTGCTCAAATGCTTTAATGGAACCCATCAATTCTTCAACACTCAAGTTTTCAAACTCTTTAGTCTCTTCAATAACAGCAACAATAGAGTCATATTTTTCCGGCAAACTAATCAGAATTTTTTCAACAATTCTTTGAATAGAAATATCTTCCCCATAGGTCTTCATTTGATTTACCACCTCCATAAGTTTAGAAAAATAATCTTTCAATAACTCCATTTCTTTCATTTTCATATTTTCAAAATCTCTTCTCAAAGATTGGAGTTTTACAGTTCTTACCTTCGTGCTGCCTCTATACTTCTTCTCGAGAATATCCCATGCCTCCTTTGCTTTAGAAGCATTGATAATTCTGGAAAAGATTGTATCAGCAACTCCTTGTTGAATCAAGCCTAAAGCTTTTGCATCTTTCTTCTTATGATCTTTCAATTGTTGTCTTTAGGCATTCGTCAAAGTTGTTGTATCCTCCGGTTCGTCATACTCATCTTCAACATAATCCCATAAATCATATGAGAGAAAAATGGTCTTCATCTTCACATACCAAAAATCATAATTTTCCCCATCAAAAATGGGAAGTGCTGATTGATGGACACCTTGGTTTTGATTGCCTGTAGTCGCCATCACGATGGATCTTCTTCGGGTTTTGTTTTCCCGTCAATAAGCTTTACGCCCAGTTTGCTCTTGATCGAAATCAAGCTCTGATACCACTTATGTTAGCTGTAGTTTCAGCCAACTAAATAAATTTTAAGTGAAGAGAGGAGAAAAATGAGTAAACAAATATTTTCTGTATTGTATTGAACTCTTTGTTTTTGTGTTGATCTCTTAACAACAAATACCTTACCCTATATATACTATTCTCTCATAGACCTTTGAACTTTTCAAGACAATCTCAACCACACACATGATACATGCACTCACTTAATACATGTACACTCTTGATACATGTATCCACTTGATACATGTACAATAACAGACGCATGAATGAACATAAACATGAATGAACATGGCATTAATCTAATTTTAACACTGTGAACATGTTCAAAAACTTTATGGAGGACCTAATTTAGTTGATTCCATATATATAGTTGATGTCAATTAAACTTTAAGACATGATATCAGTTATTTTCATTACATGGCCATTTGAATCATGGTAAAATTTTAAAATTAGTTTATGAAGCTAGGTTCTTCATCCGGTCACATCTATCCATGCATGTCAAAATATCCTATTAAGCTATATACTAAATTTGAGTCTGATATAGAGGCATTGAATTTCACCCTGGTTATTGTTTTCAATAATTGAAAATTTTATTGATAGTGAAGAATATACAAGATAGACAAGCCCGGCCAATACTGGACACATGACCTGAGATCATCTAGCTAGCACAATGGTGCATCAACAGAAGCTCAAAGCTAAAGAAAAATACAAGAAAATATAAGAGACTTCAATGAGCCCTGGGGAGAGCTCCAATCTGTTGCAATATTTCTAGCCCAGATATATAGCAGCTAGAATATCCCTGGCTTGAACTGAGAAAAATCTATGAAATTAATCACTTTGTTGATGAGTACTAGGAGCAGCCTCTACAAATTAATGCAATCATTCCTCTCCTCCAAATATATATATATATATATATTCTAGGCTATTCATTCCTCTCATTTCAAACATGGTATGTACGGCTAGCTAGGTAGCAAGACAAAGCTTGTTGACTGAGTCACTGGAGAAGTATATAAGTAAATATAGAATATGATCGGACATATATGTTCAATATATTTATGGAGGGGAAAGACAAATTAATCCATTTATGCACCATGCATGTAATTAGTTTTGATATGAGTAGTGAAAACAGAAATTGTAAGGAAATTAAAGTTGGAAACATGGGATGAATTCACATAACACATAGCATTGAAATTAATTAATAAAACTATCTACCTATATATATATATATGTATGTATGTATGTACCTTGTTGTCATCATATAACAAGAAGAAGAAAAAGGAGAAGAAGAAGTTGAAGTTGTAGGGAATCCTGTCACAGGGAAATGACACTTGCTGAAGCTAGCTAGGGTAGCTAATTGCATGCCCATGCACACCACAGCGGTGTCATTTCTCCTTCGACAGGACTCCCCCAACTCCCTTTTTGCTAGCCCTTAATTGTAACAAGCAGAAGAAGAAGAAGTTGAAGTTATACGTCGGGAATCCGGCCTGTCACAGGGAAATGGCACTTGCTGAAGCTAATTACATGCCATTCACACCACAGAAGTGTCATTTCTCCAGCGACGGGGCTCCCCCAACTCTCTTTTTGCTTGCCCTTCATTGCATTTCAATACATACATGGTATGACCATATTTATAGGGGAAATATAAAAGGCTAGACGTCTCTCGATCTCTAGAATGTCAAGTTTTTCCATGATGAAAAATGCAGAACCACATGATATGTATATGAGAATGAAGCATATTGAATAATAACTTCTACACCATTTTAATTCAAAGAGTATAAGGGTTGTTTAATTTAGTCTATACCACATGGTTTTCCGTATTATTTTTCCCACTTATTGGATTAATCATGTTAATTTGCTAGTTGAAATGCGTATTGGTGTTTTGAAGTTTGAAAGGAAGCTCCCACAAAAGGCCTTACCCCAAGTAGTTAATTTCTCCTCCTATCAAGTGGAATTTAATTTATCCTCCCTCACACACACACACACACACACATATATATATATTGCTTAAGCATTCCAAAAAAAAAAAGTTTGAGTTTTAAATTCCAATATAACAAAAACCTAACAAATATCGAAAAGAAGCTAGTATGTGCTCCAAAAAAATACTCTTGGAGGCTAGAAATGGGCGTGTGAAGATGTTTAATACAGTAAAAGTTTTGCAAGGGTAGTAGGAAAATTACAGAATGTTTTTGTCAATTAAACTATTAGAGAGAGAGACGATATATGTTAGTTACTATTTTCAATTTTTCATTGCCTGGGCAGTGAGTCGTAGTGAAATTTTAAGATTAGTTTATGAAGGGGTTCTGAATCCCATCACATCCATGCTTTGTCAACATATCACCTCATCTCTTTTTTCTGAAATTTGTGGTTCCTCGATCTGATAATTAAACCAGTGCAGTACCTATATGATAGAGACTATAGTGTAATAAATACTGTCATTAATTATGTTTTTTTGAATGAAAAAAAAAAGGAACTATATACATGTTTATATTATTATATATGCAATGATATATATAAACTTATTATGTTCAATATGTCTATGGAAGCAAGACAAGTTAATCCATTTATATATACGCCATGTAATTAGCTTTGACATGCGTGGAAAACAGAAAACGTATATATGAAAAGTTGGAAACATGCATGGGATGAATTCACATAACAGATACTAATGAATTTAATTAATAAAAGTATCTACCAATATACCTTACAGTACGTCTAGATGATAATTACAATAATAATAAATAAAAGAATAAATAAAAGAAGAAGAAGTTGTAGGGCATCAAGTCACAGGAGAATGGCACTTGCTGAAGCTAGCTGGCTAATTGCAAGTGCCATCTCTCTTGTGACTTGACTCCCCCAACTCCTGTTTTTGCTTGCCCATGCTGGCCGCCCATTGCAATTCAATACATCCATGGAATCATCATATTCATAGGCCAAAAAACTAGACTTTTCTCTCTAGAATGTCTAGTTTTTCGATGATATTTCAAAACATGTCTAGTGGTATATTTCATGTAAAATTCTACAAAAGTATAGTACTTAAATAGCTGGTCATATTCAAAAATGTTGAAAGTCATCATCGGTAAACCTTTCACATTGTAAATTGATTAATTAATAGTAATTTACAGAAGACCCCAACTCCACAAGAATGAAAAGACCAGCTTGAATTGGTCGGTGAGAGAACTAGACTCAAGCTCACCTAATTAATTAAAAACTTTGTAAAAAGAAAGAACATGAAAGACTGCCCTATCTTACCGAGTTAAACCTAATTAAGAACCAAGTTTTTATATATTTATTTTACAAAAAGCTTTATCACCACTTCAACAATTTTGTTGCATTAGAAAACTTGAAATAAAGAGAAAATTGGGTTTTAGATTAATATATATTCAATTATCTCCATATTTGATTTAAGAAAGTCTCTCACCAGTGTCGCTTTGCAAAAAAAAATAAAAATAAAAATAAATAAAATAAATAAAAAATCTCTCACCAGTGTTCAACAGATAATTATGTATGTGCGTGTATATAAATATATTATATAGAAGAGTTTTTAATAAGTCTATATTTGGCTTCTTCATTGTATCCTCGGGCTGTTGAAATTAGTAATTGGATTGTTTGGCTCAACGCTCCATACAAGCAACGGAGCAAGAGATCAATTGAAATAAAAAATCTCTATCCAAAAGGGCAATAGGACTTTTTGACATAAAACATTTCTTGAAAATTATTTTCCAATTTTCTGGTGTTTGATGACAAATTATAAAAATGGATGAAAATATTTTTTTCAATAAATTATGTTACGCTCTGTGAAGGGAAACCACTTACGTATATGCTATCCGTCATTTTATCGGAGATTTTGCAATCCAACATATATATATTTTTTTCCCTGAATGGGATATTTTTGAATTTTATTAATAGAAATACAATAGTACAATTACAAAGAGGAGGATAAAACTCCAAGAGAAACCAAGGAATGGACAAAATGTCCATCCACAGCAAAAATAAAAATGAAATCCTGACTAGAAAAACCAGAAAGAAAAACCAAAGCCTTCTTAACATGATCAACTTCTAAAAATGCAAAGAAAGCCATCCTCTTGAGTTATATCCTGAAAAACCAGGCCACAGCAAAACCAAACACTCAAGAAGAGTAGAGAATGTTGACTTCAGCACCACATAAACCAAAACTCCATCAACCAACTATCTGGACCAGAGCAAACAGCAACAATTAAAAATTTTGCAATCCAACATAAACAAGCTAAATAATTTTCTTTTTCTTTTTCTTTTTCTTTCTTAGTGTTTTAACCCGCTAAACTACTGGAAGATTGTTGTAGTTTAGAGCGAGAGAGAGCTTTTAAAGAGGTGCGTATAGACCACCTATAGAGAGAAGCTTGTATTGGAGCTAGGAATTTTTATTTGGAGAGTCAAAATGGTAGTATAAAATTACTTCTAAAAATAAAATAAAATAGTTGTAACAATTTTTCTTCTAATGCATTTTTAATACATCTTTTCAACATATGTTTATTGTGATAACTCCTAATTTTCATATGTAAGTTTTTTTTTTTTTTTTTTGGAATGTTAAGCAATTGTATAAATAAAACCAATAATTACAGCTGATTGGCCTTTGGCCCAAGAAAGAAAGCAAGGCCATGGTTTTGAAAATTAGGGAATATCAACACATGATAATAATTAAGCATGGAATACAATATATAATAATGAAAGGAATGAATGGGAGAAGCAAATACTATCATTAAATGAAACTTAAATCCATAATATATATATATATATATATATTTTTTTGGTTAAAGGGTAAGTTAGAACTCGGGAATTCATACCGTAAACGAAGGACTATTAATCAAAATTCATAAATATCCATCATCCATAAAGTCTGAAAAATGAAACTGGAGGAAAAAAAAAAAAA